CCCCCCCAGAGAAAAAAGGCAAGATCATCGAAGATACGTACTTCTCCCGTGAGTATCCAATGTATGCCTCTCCCCCCTATGGAGAGGCCAGCTAAACGTTGTGCCCTGATTCTCAATCTAAATACCTTTGCTATGGCAAGATATAGACATCAGTTGTTTTCGAATGTTTTTTACATAGAAGAATTATTGAAACCTCTATGTCAGGGGTTCCCAACCTTTTTTTTTTACTCTAGAGCACATTCTAAAATATCGGTAGGGTGGCGGGCACCACCTATTTTAAATCGACAAACTCCTTCCAGAGGCGTAGCGACCCTTCCCGTCACCCGGGGACAAAACTTTCGATTTTTGCAACCCCCACCCTCAAAGTTTCGACTTGCACTCCCCCCCCCCTCAAACTTTCGATTTCCATCCCCTTCAACCTTTCAATAATGTTTATGAAAAAAATTCTTGTCTCTGTCGAATAGTGAGAGGCGGGCACATACGAATCGTTCGGCGGGCGCCATGGCGCCCGCGGGCACAGGGTTGGGAACCCCTGCTCTATGTGTTGGTTGTTGTCGGTGTGTGCTCGTGTGTACGTGCGTGCGTGTGTATGTGCGCGAGTACGTGTGTGTGTATCGAGAACGTAAGCGTAAAATGGTAGTTTTATGACATTCACTATTTTGAAAATATAAAGTATTGACACGAGAGATGACGCCTTCACATAAGACGGTAAAGGGTGGATTCTGACCCTTGCTAACAACCTAAGCTTATGTCAAGTGAATGTCCAGTTGCATTTGCTTTCAGTCATTTTTATTTTTTTCCGGGGGGGGGGGGGGGGGGGGGTTTAGGGATGACACTTGAAGTCTTTGGGGGAAAGGGACGGCGGACCTAAATTCCCCGGGGGGGGGGGGGGGGGGGGGGGGAGGGCGGACACTGGTTAAGGTTTATATTTTGTATATAAATTCTGTTACGTTCGGAGCAGTAGCGTAGCGGGGGGGGGGGGGGGGAGGGGGATGGGACATATGTCCCCGGGCGCCGACCTTAGGGGGTAAATTAAAATTCTAACCCACATGTGACATAGGGTATTACTATTAGGCCTGCGAGGATACAGTAGATTTAAAAAAAAACTGAAATTGTGAGCTAAAGCTATAACTCAGCGAGCTATCATTTTATTCAGCCTACATCTGATAAGCTTGTTTTAAAATATAATGTTTTTAAAAAAAAAATGAATTACGATAAATATCGAATTTAATTTAAAAAAAACATTTTTATCTAGAAAGTAGAAACTCTACGCCTATTTGCAAAATTCGCTCACATGCACACTAGAGATAGACGTACGATACGCCCTATTTCAAATACTTGCATAGATAGCACCTGTCTTTATCCCCTATCACACCTAAGAAGGGGACTGTAAGGCGTACTTGTCAAGCGTCGTGAAAACCCGTAGCTATTGAAATAAAACCATGAACCGTTGCAATCGAATGTAAATAATTCGCCAGGTTCCGGAAAAAGTGTTCACTGCGTGTTCGGCATACACAAGGAAGGACGTTAGCTGAAAACGTAGGCTAAAACTAACTCTAGATTTCTAAATCGTTGGTTTAGGCAAATTGGGATCTCATCTGAGTGTTGGATTCTTTAAACTTTATAAAAGCTAGATCTAGTGTTAGAACATTCTCATTAAAACATTTTAGAACAGTTTGTGTCTTATGTAGAGAGAAGTGAAAGCGAAACCAAATATACTCCTAGATCTATAGGCCAACACAGATTAAACAATAAATATAAATAAGACTTGTGAGTTGGACCTATAAAAAATAGAATAGGCCTCTAGGCCTAGGCCTAAGCTGCAACAAATCAAGCAAGTCAGTCTAGATTCTCTACCACTCTTTAGTTTTTGAAAACACGAAATGGGAAATATTAATGTTTGCGAAATGGGTGGCGTCCATAAAGCTCTGTTTACTTGGTTCATTTCTTTAGTATTTTTGATTCTTTTCTTATTAAGAGCAGATGGGAAAGTAGATTGGAATTGGTTTATAATATTTATTCCGATGTGGTTGTTTGACGCTGCTGTAATCACCTACATTATAGGTAAGTATATAATTATATATAATATATCTAGTCTAGAACTCATAGACCGCTAGCCGCCCAGCTAAGCCGCTGAAGGCTGCTTTGCTAAGAACTTACGACTTACTAAGAAGCTAAGGTTAAGCTGAGCCGAACTACACTTACTACAGTGTCAGCTAGGATCTAGTCTAGGCCTAGACTCCTAGACAAAAACTTCTAGACCCGCCGAGAGGCTAGTGTAGAGAGAGAACTAGTTTAGTTGTTTTTTAGTATCCCCCCCCCCCCCCCCACTCCGATCTAGAATCCTAGAAATTCTTAGATCAGATTATTTTTATTATTTTCTAAAAATTCTAGATTTAGATCTAAGAATAGATTACTCCACTCTGTTCAGATAGTGTTGTAAGAAGAATAAAGCTAAAAGAGTAATTGATCATATTGCGCAGCTATAAAAGAATAAATTGAGTCCATTGCACATCTATTTATAGTATATTTAATTTGAGGCCATTGCTCAGAATTTTAGGTCATTGCGTTTTGCATCTTTTGCCAGCCAGATAGCACTTGGTGGGGGGATCTTTTTCAGAGTAGTCACTTCGTTAAAATAATTAGGCTACATTTAAGAAGCTTAAAATTATTTTAGTTTAAAAAAAACCAATCACTTAACTTACTTGATTAGCAACTTATGTAATTCACTTGAACCATAATGATAAACTCACCCTTTTATGTAAACAAGAACTATTCCCATGGCTCCACACCCTATCCCTAAACCCTCAGATAACCATCACTGATGTGGGTTTTCTTTGCTCTATTTAATATGTTTATCTTTAGCTGTAGACACTACTAAAAATAATGTTAGGCAAACCAAAAAGCATGTACATTACTATTATACAAATGATTTTTAGTGGCTGTTTTATATTGAAATATGAATAATCGTGTGCTATTTTCTATCCTTAGTGAATATAATCATGCACTGTCGGTCCCACTACCCCAACTCTGTAGACAGGAATGACATGACTAAGAAGAGGAAATATTCCCTGGTGGTTTGCTGTTTACTGAAGGTTGTATTTCAAGTTCTGCTGTGTCTCCGCTTAGAAAACTTTAACATCAGCATGTACTACATGCTGATACCGTTTTGGATTCTCTTCACATCAGGGCTTGTAGAGAGTTTTCTAGTCCTGGTTGGACATTATTCCTACAACAACAGGTGACATAGGCCTAGAAGCTACTGTATAGTTAGAACCCAGCCCAATTACCAACTAGAACCCACAATGGACTAATTCAGGAGACTTGTACAGATTATTGTTTAGAAATCAACCATCTTAAGTCACAAGATTATGTTACTTTACATTTAATTTTTCATTGTATATAATATCCTGGTTATGTTGCATTACTAAAAAGATGGCAATTAATGCTTCATTTGAAAGAATATGTTTGTAGTGTGTGTAAAAAATGTATTAAAGTTAGAAAAAAATACATTTAGATTGTATTTGATGTAATTTATTAAGAATGTTAATTATAACATTAACAAATTTGATTTAAATTTTTCTCTAAAATAATTATTTATGTGATTCCTTGGGAAATGGGGGGAGGGGGGGGGGGGTGAGATTCATGCTGTCCATGACTCAGGTGGTTGATACCCACACCTAAACTCATACACAATTTATCAGGCGTATGAACAAGTATATCATTTCAGTTTTATAGCTAAGGATATTTTTTGGTAATCAGGGCCTGGTGGACAAGTTGAAAATACCCACAAGTCTTTCAAAGTGTTTTCATAAGCCAAAATTGTGATATGATGGAAGAAACGACAGGCAATTAGTTTTTTTGTAAATATGCAGTACAGCTATCAACTACAAAGAGAGCAAAAGTTTACTATTTCAATTGTAGTCATTGAAAAGAATTTTATAGCACACCTGTGTAATGCTCTGAATACACTTTTTTCTAATTAGTCAGGACTTGTTTAATATTTTTATTATTTAGCTTTAGCATTTAGAAAGTTCATAGATGGTTTATTATTAATTGACATGTCTAGTCCATAATACTAAATACATTAAAAAATTTATAAAATCATCCATCATCATGTATTATTTTGTAATCAACTTCTAGTGAGCTAAATGCTGTTTTAGTATGTTATCCTCAAGACATTAGTACCTAATTGTCATGAGATATTTTTACCTTAAGAATTATTTATTTTGTTAATGGTCTTTACTTATTTTTGTAACTCTGTGGAGTGGGCTCAATGTTCTTTGTTTCTGTTGATTTTTCTAAAGTAGGCTATTAATTATTTTGTTCCATTAAATTTTTGACAAACTTCTACGTTTTTAAAAATCTCTTGACTTGTGGTGTGGTACATCAGTTTGACAAATCATCCAATTGTTTGCATTGGATGACTTTAAAAAACTAGAATGCTCATGTTTTAAAAATGAAATGAATCTCTTGTAAAAATCCATGTAAACTATTTAATGTATTAACGTCACTGTATTGTACTTGCCATTCTACCACCTTCCTTTTATTTGTGTGTACTGTAATCTTACCTGTTCAACCAAGTTAAAAGCTTTGTATCAATTTTTTTTATGGATACCTTTTAAAATAAAGCCTATGCTATATTAACTATGGCAACTGAAGAAAGGCATAACATGGTATTATTATTATTGTAAAGTCACAAATATTTGATTTATCCCTGTTATAAATCCACACTTAGTCATCTATACATAGATTAAATCAGTATGCACTCATAATTTGATTGTCTGTGGAATTTCTATGCCTCAATTCTTATTACTATATGGTTACTGTTTAAATTAAATCTTATCATGATAAAACTATTGCAGCTATTATCTAGAACTGGGTTTTTGTACAAGTTGAAAAACCTTAGTATGCATTTAATATTGAGCTAGTAATGTCTTGAGATATAATCAGTTGTGAGGTTTATTTTGTTTTCATAATATTGTGTATGACTTGTTCTATGTGTTCCCATGATAGATTCTTTCTGCAGCATTGCAACATTCCAAACTTAACACATGCTATTTAATCATTAATTCACTTCCTTCTGATGGGGATTTTTTTTTATAGATACTAGGATGAATCTAGTAATGGTAAATTGTATTTGCTTTTGATTAAACTCTTGAGTTATACACCTTCATTAACTACTGTAAATGTTTATATTTTACACTTACACACACCCAGGATAGAAGAAATTAAACATTTTGATTCTACTTTTCACTAGGCAATCTGCAGTTACTAAAAAATGTAGTTAACTTATAAACAAACAAGCCAAATGTAAATAACACATGTTTTATTAGTTACAGGACATTTTCTTTCTTTACCACTGAACTCAAAAGCATAACAGTTCTTCCTAATTTTTGGAAGTGATTGTTCATTCTATTTTAAATGTATTCAAAACCACTCTACTGAATACTGATCCAGTTTTTCATATTTAAAAAAATATTTCTTTGATTAACACTGTGTGTTTTATGTCTATTAAACAATATACCTGTCATGACTGTTTTGAAGATTATTATTTAGTATTCACCATTAAGTCATGCAAGTTTGAACTGTGAGTAAAAAGAATAAATTGTTTTCTTTTTAAATATTTTTTTCATTTTTTTTAAAACAGCAACTGTACATATGGCAACCTAGAAGATAAACCACTCATTGAACTAATATAGATCTACCACAAAACTTGGCATTAAATTTAAACAAAGAAAACTAGAGTTGTGGTTGTTAGCATTTCATTTAAGAAATCCAAATCTAAGTTAAAATGCTCCCAATTTAATTGTGTTACATTGTTATAACTAGACTATTACAATAAAGTCACTAAGGGTTCATGCACATATCAAATAAAACACAAATATTTAATTACACTTACACTGTTCCAAGAATGCAAGCCAGATTTTTTTCAATGTATGCAGCTAAGTCTAACATTTTAATTTACTGAAATTTTTAAAAATTCATGTTGCAAAACATAGTTCTGTACCATCTTCTACCCAACAAACGATATAGAAAAATTAACTTCCCTATAACTTTTATGTATTACCTGCATGATCTCTAAAGTTCCAACTTTTAAAGTAGAGAGAGTGGAGTGTGGTTACTGATATTATCTTGTAATTGAAAGTCAATGACTTCAAGTATTTCACTTATCTTATTGCCAACCCTAAACAAATATGACTGTACCAACTTATCATTAAAGTTGTTTAAAAAAAACTTATGTTCAAATTTAAGAGTTATAGTAAAATAATTATTTTTGTAATTTAAAAGTTTTTTTTTTAAGTGAAGAATTTTTTACAAAAAACCTCAATAACTGATTTTTTTAAAAATCATGGATTGGGTTAAAAAAAAATGTTACTAACATGAATGACCTCTTTGTTTTAGTGGAAAAGTTTTTTAAAATCTTCTGTTGTGGAAACCTCTGGGACTATAGCTAATTCTATTCTACAGCCCAGCAGGTCTGCATTTTTGCCCAGTCTACTTTAACTCATATCTAATCAGCCTTTTTTTTTTTAAATAAGAACATTGAACAGTAGGATTTTACCATATCTGTTAATAGAAATATTTTCAATAAAAATATAAAGTACAATAAACTTAACAAACTTTTCAATGGAATACAGTACTTTTTAAAATTAAAATAGTTTGCAAATGTTGAAAAATTTAACGCATTTATTTGAATACAGTCATGACCATATAAATCTTTTATTATAATAACTAAATAAAATTCTTATGAATAAAATGAATTAAAGTTTAGTTAAAATAACACAATCTGACCTATGATTACCTATCTCAGAGAAATATTTATAGCTTGACACCTTATGGGATTAAAAAACTCAAACATAATAATTAGCTTACATCACTTATAGGAATACTAACACATACATGCGCACTTTGTACATCACTTTCTTTCATTGTTAACAACATAATGTTTGGAGTTATCTAGTTTCTCACACAGTTTATTTATCGGCATTTAGTCATGTCTTAGCTTCTGCAGTCACATCGTCAAATAAAAGAGCTAAACTTTTAAAAATAGAAAATTAGCATAGTGCTTTAAATGTGTCCTGTAAAAGTACGTCAATTATAAATTTTAATATTTTATATTTAGAAGATTGAAAGTGTGGTTTATTTATACAATGTTTTCACACGTTTTTAAGAATTAATTTAAATAAACAATTATTTTAATGATTAATAATTAGGGCCTACTCAGATCATAACCACGCCTTAATTTAACAATTTCACATGTTAACACTGTACTTGTTAACCAGTCTTGTGTCTCTCTACGAACAACCATCCCCCCTCATCATCTTCTCTGTGCACAGCTGAGGCAGCTGGACGAGCTTCAGGAGGGTGGCGGACAGGTCCTTCAGGCTCGAGATACAGATGCAGAAGGGCTGCAGCAGCACGTACAGCCAGGCGAACAGGAACCCGATGGGCCACGCCAGGAGAAGGAGCACGATGAGCCAAAATATTCCAAACACGACACACTTCGCATCTCCTGGGGGCAGGAACATTGGTTATGACAGGCCTGACGTCATGCTTTATTGACGATGTTTACCCCTTCACCGTCTGTCATTGTCAGTCACCCCCCCCCCCCCCCAACATAAAATGACGCCAAACCGCAGCCTACAACCCTCTTCTAAAATGCATTATTTTTAATATTTGAAAAATAAATTACTGAGCTCGTCGTTAGTGAGTAGGCTTATAATACTTATATAAATAACTGATTACAATAATTTAAGCAAAAAAAAAAAGACTAAAATTAATTTTAACATTAATTTTTAGAATGCAATAGTGCCCCCACACAGTCCCCCCCCCCCTCCTCCCCTCTTTACGTGTCACACATCGTTACAAAATGAGAGGGATAGGGTTTAAGAAATGTGTAGTAACATATTTTTTTTAAATAACAAAAAAAAATGAGTATAAGTTGTTAGGAATTTCTTATAGGTGAAAATGGGAAGCCGTAGTGGGATTTTGTGACGTCTATTTAGACTGGTGTGTTATAAAAAGTTGAATTGCGTGACGTCGTTTGGGAACGAAACGAATTACAAACGTAGGACAAGGTTGCCAGGTTTCTTTGCCAATGTTAGTTACATCTAAGATTAGTGTCAACTGATATCAGGCGTGTGTAGCTTTTTTTAGCTGTTTGGGTAGGGGGGGGGGGGGGGGCTAGATGGGTTTAAGATGTTAACACCCCCCACCCCCTCGTCAATTACGGGACGACAAAATCTCGAGCAAGGAAATACGACGAAGGACAGACTTAAACGACATTGTCTCAGAAGTACGAATGAGGCGATGGCTGGGTCATAAAGAGAGGAAGGACCTGGGAACATGGAGGAGAGAGATGGAAGAAGTGCAGGCTACTAGCAAGACCTGGAATGACAAAGTGCCCAAGACAAAGTGGAATGGCGAAGATTTGTTGCTGCCCCATACTCCACAGGGAGTGACGAGGAATAAGAGAATTATTCACTTTTAATTACGATATAGACTGCCTATCCACAGGGGCGTAGCGAGGGGGGCGTGGGTGCGGACCGCACCGGGTGACACCATTTAGGGGGGTGACACCAAGGCAAAAAATAGCAAAATACATAGAGAAAAACTTGAGGGGGGGGGGTGCAAATCGAAAACTTGAAAGTTTGTCCCCGGGAAGGGTCGCTACGCCTCTGGGGGATGACACCATTAAGTGTCGCACCGGGTGACACCCGACCTCGCTACGCCACTGCCTATCCATCACCATCTTGGACGGCCCGGCTTAGTGTAGAAAGCTAGACTGCTAACCCGAATCTCGAGTTCGAATCCGCGTTCAAGTCAGTAGAACGTTTTGTCCACCCAGCTCAGATGGTAACTAACCGTTAGCAAAGGCGGCTGGGTATAGTGCTGACCACACTATCCCTTCATATGTCGAGGTCTCTGAACTCTACTTCATCGGCCCCATGTGTCTTGGGCACGAAAGCGAAAAGATGGTGAAGATGATCCACCAGCATATTCAGCTTTCTGTCACTAACAAAACTATCCCAAACCCTCTTCCTAACCTATGCTTAAATGATCGGGAGGTAATTCACAGGGTGGGGAGGAGGGGGGGGAGATTGACCTATACAATTACACTCCCCCTGACACTAGTGTTAATAAATAATTTTTTAAATAGAAAATACCCTGAAAATTTAATCCTCATCACCCCCACCCCCCGGAATTTTCATGTGCCCCCCCCCCCCCCCCGGCCACTGAGAAAAAGTTTGAATTAGGGTTTGTACTTACCGCCAGCACCCATTGTTGTCGGATTTCAAGACTGAAAAATTATTTTTTGTATTTTTCAATGTTAGATCTAATAATACTAGAAGTCCATGAAATTTATTTTTAAATGATAGACCTACTCAAAAACCCACTTTACATTTTGAGCCTATGGTACTGCTAGTGTGGTCAATACTATGTCTTTACTTTGGGGGTCATCCATAAATGACGTCACGCTTTTTTGACGATTTTTACCTCCCCCCTCCCCTCCGTCACACGTCGTCACAAAAAGCCAGACCCCCCCCCCCCCTAAAATGACGTCACACCTCAACATACAACCCCCCTCAAAATTGCAGTTGAATTTTTTTTAAACATCGATATTTTTCCAAAATCTTGTCTAAACTATTACAATTTATTAAAACAGTTATCTAAAACGCGAAATAACGTCTAAAATTCGTTTTCTAACATTGCTTTTTTAAAATGCAAAAATGTGACGTCGCAACATCTGAACCCCCCCCCCCCTCCCCCTCATCACACATCGTCACAAAATAACGGACCCCCTCCCCCCTACGAGTGTGACGTCATTTATGGATGACCCCTTTCCCTAAAGTGAGTCAGGTACCCATCCGAGCTGAGTGGACTCAGGGACGTCCTAAAAAGTGACGTCAGTCTACAGCAGGGCGTGAGCCTCCATTTTGGGCCGGCTAACGATATGGTCCACATAGTATTAGTACGGCTACTATCAGAGGACTATGAATGTATATATGTGTTGGCCCTTTATCTTTTAGAGAATCATTGATCATCATATTGTTCAAATTGTCTTTGCATTAGTTATATATTTTTTTTTAAAAGTGTGTGTCCCCCCTCCCCCCACCGGAAATTTCAATAACCCCACCAGGAGAAACCCTGATTCGGTGGAGTATAGCTGCTGATATTTCGGCATTTCTCGAAGGCTAGACTTGTTTTTTAATTACCAAGTGCTCCACCCCCACCGGAGAAAATGTCTAAAATAATCACTGCGGGGGTGGGGGGTGCTCTTATTGGGTCTAGATCGATACAGTCACAGTGCTAAACGGCATCGTAACCATACTCTCTGTAGGGCCTAATATAGCCTTCGAGTAGATCAATACGGTCTTATTCTTACCTTTGTCAGACCAAGGCTGACTATGATGATAAATACAACATCTTTGAGTTTTACTTTGGCAGTAGATCTACCTTCCTAGAAGGCCAAACTAAAAAAAGTATTACCTATCGTACTTTTTGGCTTACAAGTTGTTGATTGAAAAATTTTACTTTTACCTTTTCTTGAAGGCGAATTCACAATTAATTGTTCCTAAAATCCTAGATTTACACAAAAACACTTTAAGTTATCTATGAAGCTCTTTCACTACGCAACAAATGTGTATAGCAACAATGCCGAGCATCCTTTTGGTGCATGATGCAAAGTCCTATGCACCGGTAATTCCCGATACTCTTGCCCAGATGTTTGGTGCGCCAGAGCATTGTGATTATGTCTTTCGTCTGTCACCTTTAACTTCAGACTCCGGATGACTGGATCGCATATTGAACAGAAACAGTCGGCTTGAGAAAATTACCAACAGTGAATAAAAAAAGAAAACATCTAGCAAAACCTTATTGACAAAACAATTCATAAGCGCAAATGGGAATCATTTGGATACACCTTGCGCAAGCCAACAACCAACATCACCAAACAAAATTATATTGGAAAGAGAAAAGTGGGTCGTGGACCCAACTAGGAGAAATCGCCCAAAACCAAGTTGAATAGAGAGGTTTGGTTGTAACAGGGGTTATACAAGGATCATCAGAGTGTTCCCTTGTATTAGCCCATTTACTTGAAGGCTTGCGTCATTTTGGCAACTTTTGACTTATCTATCTGGTTACGAAGGGACTTAAATAAGCAAATATAAAGAAGACAAAGGGCAAAGTAAGAGTTACCTAGAACAGAGTAAAAATATTTAAACGTCTTTATTGACCTACCCTTCAGGATTAACCTCAGAGGCGTAGGGAGGGGGGTACATATGTCCCCGTGCGCCGACCTTAGTGGCGCCAAAATGGGTTGTAAAAACAGATTAAAATCTCATTTTAGATGCAGTTTTGCATTATAAATATAAAAAATAGATGGGGGGGGGGGGTGCAAATTGAAAATTTGAGGGAGGGGATGAAAATTGATAAGTTGTTCCCGAGGGGGGTGCCAAGTGGGGCAAGTGAAGTAGAGTTCACTATGCCCAGCCGCCTTTACTTTCCCCGACATGAGTTAGGTACCCATCAGAGTTGGGTGGACTCAGGGACGGTCTACTGACTTGAACCCGGTTTCGAACTCGAGACATACGGGTTAGCAGTCCAGCTTTCTACCGCTAGACCACCCAATGCAACCCTGTGGCAAGGAACAAATGTATGGCTTGCTGAAGATGAAGTTCTCCATATAAGATGGCCTGGCCTAACACTCAGGCGGCTGGCGACAGGAATAGCAAGACATGGCATCATATGGGAAAAAGAGACAGACCATAAAAACCTTGAGAAAACAACACGAAACAGATTTCCATGGAGAGAAGTGAGGTCCCACTGATCCAATGATAAATTTTAGGCAGTGGCGTAGCGAGGTCGGGTGTCACCCGGTGCGGCACTTAATGGTGTCACCCCCCCCCCCCCCCCCAGAGGCATAGAGACCCTTCCCAGGGACAAACTTTCAAATTTTCGATTTGCACCCCCCCTCAAACTTTCGATTTGCACCCCCCCCCCCCTCAAACTTTCGATTTACACCCCCCCCTCGAGTTTTTCTCTATATATTTTGCTATTTTTTGCCTTGGTGTCACCCTTCTAAATGGTGTCACCCGGTGCGGTCCGCACCCCCCGCCCCCCCCCCCCTCGCTACGCCCCTGATTTTAGGTATGCCTTTGGGAAGAGGCAATCTCCCCCATCTAGACAAAATAATTTAATAATAGAAAATATATATAGCCAACTACCCCCCCCCCCCCCCTCCAGAAGTTTCAAGTGCCCCACACCATCACCTAAATCAAAATACCTGTAAGAAACCCTTGGCAGTAGGAAAAACAAGTATAGTCACCTGTAGAGCTCTACACTGGCAATATGCTGGTATACACCAATCTATCAGCTGTAAACAGAATTTAGCCTACAGTTCTGTTGAGGTACATATTACTATTACAACTGGTCGTTCACACTTAACTTAGAAGATGGAAGTAAACAATAAGAGCATGTATTCTTCAGTTCTTTTTATTTTGGTTATAGCCAAATCACATGATAATCATTAGAATAACTAAGTAGGCCTACGTGTAAACAAAGATAAAACTAAATCATTTTGTAATTAATTAACGTAATAAATTTATAATAGAATTAGGGCATACTTTGTAGATCTATGGGTCGGCGTGGTAATTGTCATTTAATTTTTAAGGAGTAGAGATAAGGCAACTAAAAGACAACATTTTATAAGAACATAATATTATCTAGCTTATGCAAAAGAATTCTAGAAAATATAATTTACAATAGATTAGTAAATGAAATGCTGCAATTTCAAGATTTGCAACAGTAATGTATCATAATACTAGTTGTTGATTAAGTAATATAAATTGATGAAACATAATTAATGATTATCAAAATAGGCAATTACAATTGTTTAAAAATATTATGCCCAAATGTTACCTACAAGTTAGCATTTTTTAAATCCCTGTTCTTCATAAGTCTTACCATTTCAGGTTTTAAACTTTCATTCTTAAGAAACACTAACAATTTTAAAGTTTGGTCAAATAAATGTTAAAAAAAAAAGGATGAATAGATATCACCTGAATATATTTCTCAAAATAACAAGAAAAAAAGATGCAAATACTGGTTCTATAACATAAATGCATATTAGTTTTTCTAAAAATAAATACATTTTAAAAAAAAAAGAAATAAAATTTAGTTAAAATTATAGTTTTTTTTAATTATATACAGATTTCTCAAACAAACGTTTTGTAACAGTGAAATGAGAGGGTGCGATACATTAAAGTAATGAAAAAATAATTCACCAATACTATTATGCAATTGACAAAAAGACATCTGAAATTACTAATCCAGATTTAAAGACTTTTCCTGCATAATTAACACAAAGAGGATAAGTGTATAAATATTTGTTGTAAATAAATGTCATATTCTTACATTAAAAAAATTAATTATAGCTTAAATATTTGAAAGTTCAAATATTTTTCAAATATGTAAGAAATATAAATAAAGAAAAATTATGTTAATAGTTTTAGTTATTAAATTTATTAACATCAGTATGATTTAGTAAACAGTCACTAAAGAAAAAACAGAAGAATTAATCGCTATTTACTTTTATCAACAGCATAAACAGAACCAAGCATATTTCTTCATATCTTACAATACAGATTAAATTTTCCAAAATTTTCAACACACAGAAAAGTGAGCGTCACACATTCATTATCACTCAGAGAAAACAAGAAATCAACAGGTTATGAGGGGTCTGCATGTTCAGGTTGGTAAAGCTCATGGTTGTTAAACCAAAAAGTCCCAAGTTCAAATCCCTCGGCAGATAAGGCTTGATAGATGAGGACAGAAACCCATCTAGGAGAGAAAACTACAAAATCAAACAGCTTCTGCCTTGTAGTTAGTTCTTGGATGGACTAAGGCTATGAAAGCAAATCCAATAAGAAAAGCAAGCTGTATTCTGAGTCAAAGACCTATATGCGCATAACAAGTTGACACATAATAGTCATGTTGGAGGAAATCCTGTCCTACATTACAATTAAGAAAATAGCAGAAGAAGAAGTTATAGATTAAAATATCAGAACATTTTTTCTTTTTGACAATCAATAACAAAATGTAAAATGCCGATGTTTAAATAAAATACCTTAATTTTTACATCTTTTAGCTGTATATGAAGTACATTTTAATAAATTGTGAAATGTAAGATAAAGGCAACACTACACATTGTATAATGATCAAATTATTAGTTTAAACAAAAATAAAATTCATTAATTCAAAGTTTGCAGGCACCCACACTACACATTATATAATGATCAAATTATTGGTTTAAACAAAAATAAAATTCATTAATTCAAAGTTTGCAGGCACCCACACTACACATTATATAATGATCAAATTATTGGAATAAACAAAAAAAAAAAATAAATAATTCAAAGTTTGCAGGCATCCACACAGATAGATCAACCTTGCACAAGGCACAGAGATAAAATGGAATGCAAGTCATTAACACAGGGTATATGTTTTAAAATTAAGATTTTGTTACATACTGTAGATAAACTAAAACATTTGTTTCAATTAACAAAATAAAATAAAGACAAATGCAACGGGTTGGGCATAGATTATAATCATTTAGACACAACATAGGATGACTAGTAACTAGTATAGACTTTTCTATGGTATTTCCAATCATTGTCATTAACTGAGGACTGAGATTTTTCTATTGTTTTGATTAGAATTTTTACTTAAATTTATTACAATTTGACAGCGGTATAGCACACTAACCCCCCTTGTGCCATTACCCACTGTCAATTAGCCCCCCCCCCCTCCCCTGTGACTAATCCACAACCCCACCTCCCCCCTCTCAAGAATACTTATAATACTTATTACATAGGTTATTAGTAAAGTGAGAGTCCAAGCATTCTTTAGAATGCCTGAGGTGGGCTGGCAGAGTAGAAAATAAAATATTTTGTACTCTTACTTGCTAGCCATTAGCTAACTTTAACCCTAGTTTGGGTAATGTTTACAGTCAATTTGTTTTAGAGGGTAGGGAAAATGTCCTGTTCCCATCAGAAAGTGCTGTAAAAATAATTATTACTGCCATCAGTGCATGTTTATCAATGGCGACATCTGAATGATCTTAAAGCACCTTTGTTGAGGAGTAAGTTAGTTGAACTAATAATAGCATATATCCATTTTCATAATAAATATTTGTCATGTGAGTTATTACAATAATCACTGGATGCTTTATACTCTCCATTCATTTCATTATTATTATTATGCATATGTCCGCCAGCCAATACTAATTAAAACTTTCAAAACAAATAATTAAATTTTGATAATTAAAGCATGTTGATTTAATTCATCTGTTACACCAACACTTGTTTTAGAATTACAATAGATGGAATAAAATGTATGCAAGTAAATGATGACAATGAGATCAAAAACATGTTTCTTTGTCCAAGGTTTGAAGTGGAAGTGATTATTAAATATAGAATCTTCATTTGTTACAGATGTTGTAACAGAAGTATTGGGAAAATTGCTAAAATAATGAAAGATAGAGGCAAATGGTGGCTGTAGTGAGGCAACTAAAATATATATTGACATATGGCTAAAATATCTACCATATTCCAATAACCTTATGTAGTAAGATAGTCTACAATGTCTTTTTAATATAGTGATTGTAATACATATGTATATGAAACAGAAATAAGATTATACCACCATTTATGAACAATGGATTTTACAAATCCTAACTAAAAACTGAGAATGGAACATTCAATTTATACCATGCGTTAGGGGAGGAAGTAATTTCTCCTTTCATTCATATGGCCTACAAATAGGGCTTTAACAAAGCAAAATGATATGGATTAGAAAATAATTACAAAGCCTATTTTATTACAGAACCATGCCCATCTCAAATCAAATTTGGAATTCGGTTTGTAGTTTTTGTTTTTATTTTTAACATGTTTAGAAAAATGTTTAAATGAAAATTTTAAAAGCTGTTTAAGTTTAAGTATTGTAAGGTAATTTTTTTGACATATTTTATAGAATTGTTGAAAAATATTCTTAATAAAAGAAGTGGAATAAAAGGATTTTTAAAATAGGAAACAATCAATTTCATTAAAGATTGTTTTATGGCTTATTGCATTATGAACTAATAATTTGTCAAAAAAAAAAATCATCCCAAAATTATTTTCAATTGTAGATAACATTAACCGCACTATAAAAAAGGTTCAATAAAACAACCCACACACTTATATTCAATTAAATGGAAAAATTTCTTGAACTTGCACACTGAAAACTGTACCAGTAATGTTTTTATTTGGTCTTAACAGCATTTTCTCTTATGCTCTCCTGAGCTCTCCATTAAGTCAATGATACCTTTACTATCAGATCCATTGTACCTCCTTTTTTGGTCAGCACTTAGGGGCAGGCAGTGCTGAAATATGTACTCAAAAACGTCTTTCACATTTTGATCATTGAGGCTGGAGGTTTCAAAATATGGATCGTGCGGCAGCTTTGAGAGGTCGATATTTTCATTAAGTTCCCTGGCCAGTTTTCTGCCTTCCTCGGGTGTGATGTCCCTCTCTTCAGGCTGGAGGAGGTCTAGCTTTGTGCCCACAACCACCTTGAGGCAGTCTTCATTGGCTGCTTCAAGTGTGGAGCCAAACCTTGCCCTAGGTGAAAATAGCTTTACCATTTAAATTTATAAATAAATTGTATGTATTGCTTATATTTAATTTTAAAATAATCTAAAACAATGTTCATAAATAACTGTTGAAAGAAATGTGAAGTCAAAGTTAAGAACACAAAGTTTAACACTATTATTTTACCATAATGATTCGAATGTTTTGGGTGAGTTGAGGTCAAAGGCTAATATAGCAGCACCAGCACTGCGACAGTAAAAGTGTGAAAGCCCTGAGTATCTTTCGTCACCCGCTGTGTCCTATAATAAATTTAATCAGCATATATACAAGAAACTACAAACATTAAATGATAAAATGGGGACAATAAATTTCACTAAAGATGGGGACATTAAATTTCATTAATGGAACAAAGCAAAAAAAATTATCAAGTCTGTTTTATAAAATAATTTCTAATATGTTAAAGGCTTCAACTGTTTTAATGAAAATATTTTTCGACAGCTAGAGTCCTCACTTACCCACACAGCCACATTGTATGGTCCCCACTGCTTTAAGAAGAATGCTGCACCTACTGTCTATTTAGTGCAAGATGAGAAAATTTTACAAAAAATTAACCTTTGAAAGCAGTAAATTTAATTTTACAAACTAACCCATTACATACAGAATGCCTTACAATATATGTAGAACTATTATAAAAAACTATATATATATATATATATATATATATATATAGATCTATATATATATATATATATAATATAAGAAGTACTACAAAAAATAAACAATAGCTTACTGGTTCCTGTGTTCGAAACTTCCCATCTATATAACGACAAATCAATGAAGTTTTACCCACTGCATAATCTCCTAGAATAATTACTTTTAAATCTCTGAAAAAAGTCATGCATACATATAATTATTATAATACTTATAAGATATTTAACACTGAAAGCCAAATATGTTTTCAACAAAGCCCAATTATCTAAAGTGCAGAGGGGGAATGTCATGTTACAGTATGTATTTCTATATTCTATAGTAAGTGATTGAAATATATTGACAGTCTTCAGTCTAAGTGATTTTGACAACTTGCAATGAACATTGATTGAGCATTGGTACAGCATAAATGATCTAGATCTCTAGATCTAGTTTACCTTAAAAATTATTAAAATTAATAGTATCACCAAATTATTTTACCAGTAAGATTGTTGTATACTAGATTCTCTAGATAAAAAGATACAGATATTGTAGTGTAGGTAATAGATTGTAGTATTATTATTAATAGTAACAACATGACATTCCCCCTCTGCACGTTGTTAGGTAATATTATTTATTTATTAATATTCTAAATGGATTGTGAACAAAAGTCTAACTACTACTAACTAGATAAGACAGACATATAGGTCATAGATAGATCTATTTAATTTTATTGTAATTGTAGGATTTGGAAATCTAGTCCAGATTTAGATCTAGATCAATATTAGCAGCATTTTATTTTTATTTAGGCCAAAACTTTATAATTTTAGAAGAAAAAAAATTAGGCCAAATCAAATGACAAATCACGTCCGTCCCATCTGATTTGGCACAAACAGATTTGGTTCTGTCATTTTGTGCCCGGTCCACATTGTTGATTCATTCTGAAATGCAATCTAGTCTAATTAATTTAAGTAAAGTTACGCCTTACACTTACGCTTTTCTTTTTCCTGACATTTTACAGTTTTCTTACAACTGTGGTAACCTAAAATATTAAGCGTTAAATATTAATAAATTCATGTCAAACTAAGATTACTAGTACTACACTATCCTACGAAGGGCCCTGCCCCCTTTAACTTCACTATGCGGAAATCCTTTTATTTGGCCTGTAAACAAAATATCGTGAATGCTTAATTGATTTTACCAACAAAAAAAAAACATTTTAAAAAATGTGAATTTTGAATACGAATCAACTAAAAATTGAGGATTGGTTTTTATTTTAACTTAAAAAATAATTTCAAACCAAAAACAAAAATGAAAATCTAAAACATATTAAGAATATTAGATCTAGATCTAGATATAAATAACCAAAGTGACATATTTTGTACAAATTGCATGTTATATATACGCGCGATAATTGCGTGGTGTAAAGCAATAAAAACGTCGGATAATTAATAGTTGAATACAATTATTTCAAATTGGCTTACTTAATTAGTTTCTGCAAACCTCAACTAAATGTAGACTAGCTCTAGATATATTCAGTAAAGCTTAACTTACAATAGATTATTATTATATAAGAATCGTCAACGTAAACTCGTTCTAAAATACAAAAATATGACCTTTCGTACCCAGAGTTTCTTCCAGGCATCTCTACCGAACGAAATGGAATTTATATATAAAATGTATACATTTAACAGTGTTCGCCCCCCCCCCACCAGAAAATTTCAAGTTCCCCCCCCCCCCCGGAGAAAAAAGTCTGGAAGAAACACTGCTTGTACCCATTTAACTTTAAGGCATAAACCGTTTAAACACGGCATTTTAATCGATTTCTATTACAGTCTTATTAAAACAGTTTCCTAAAACCCGAAATAAAGGCTAACATTCGATTTCTAACACTCCCCTCCTCCTCATCCCACACCGTCACAAAATTACGGACCCCCTACCAGTGTGATGCCACTTATGGACGACCCCTAAAGAAAATAAAGGCCTACTTTAACCCTACATTTCAAATTGTAAACGGAGCCAATCACGCTTTTAAAAACAATGTTTACTTCTTTCGACCCTCCCAATGGTTACAAGGCACCTTAACAAGGCCAGCCACCCCCTCCCCTTAAAATGACGCCACAGTCTAGTTGCCTCACGATTTAATTTGATTACAATGTGAACAGATTAAATAAAGTGGCCTACTTGAAAAAAAAAGTGTAGTTCAGCCTAGTCGTGTGGATCTTGTGCCAACGATGTCCAGTACACAATTTGTGGAATAAGTCTAATCAATAATGCAGACGGGAGGAGAGTTAGGCCTACAAACAATTGTGAATAGAGGTCAGAAGGCTGATCATTATAAAAATGTTTTAAAAAATTCTAATGCAAAATTCCTACAAGCGAAAGTTGGAGACAATAAAGCATGCATCATGCATCCGTATGTCATGTTGACAGAAGCCACGAGGATCCATATTTTATAGCGTCTCACGCTTGCTTTGAAGGTCTTTCTAGGGGGTGGGGTTGTCTTTCTATATAAGTTAAGCACTAGCGTAGCGAGGGGGGGGGGCGGGGGGGACATATGTCCCCGGGCGCCGACCTTAGGGAGCGCCAAAATGGTTTGGAAAAATGAATTGAAAGGTTGAGGGGGGGTGCAAATCGAAAGTATGAGGGGGGATGCAAATCGAAAAGTTTGTCCCCGGGCGCCGGGAAGGGTCGCTACGCCTCTGAAGTTAAGAACAGATCCTGGTGTACATTAAGACATGGGTGGGTCATTGATTTGTTTCCCGGGCAGATTGGACACAGCATGTTAAGCCCTGGGCACAGAGTTTCTTCCAGGCATTTCTTCGGGGAGGCGTAGCGACCCTTCCCGACGACCGGGAACAACATAGAGTTTCTTCTTTGCCCCCCCCCCCAAGAAAGTCTACCGCCCCTCCCCCCCCCCCCCCGAACGAAATGGAATTTTCATAGAAAATATCTGGCAAATATATACTTTTAACAGTTCCGCCCGCATCCCCCCCTCCGAAAATTTCAAGTGCCCCCCCCCCTTCCCCCGGAGAAAAAGTCTGGAGTGGAAGAAACACTGCGTACCAGTATCATAGTAGCAGTAGGCCGGTTTTAAAATAAAGCTCACCACATAATCTATAATACTCTTTTAGATATTGTAAACAGTGCGAATTCAGCAGTCTAGGAATAGGCCTACAAAAGAAAGAAAAAACAACATTCAGTAGGCCTACATTTTACATTTTAGGCCTAAGCTGATAGGCTATTATTGCATTATTTGGTCGATGTTTTGGAGAGTTTACTTCCGGTACTATTTATCATCAAAGAAAAATTTATGCAGGTTCCTCCTATCCACGAATTAGACATGAAATTAGCCTTGTAAATTTGGATATACTCTGTGTCCTCTAAAACTATTATTACAGTGAAATGATATTGGAATAGTTCTAGATCTACGTCTCAAAATATTTTTGGGTTGTTATAATACATAATAAGCTATTTTGTACTTTAGTAGGCCAACCTCATCAGCTGAGTGAGGGTCAAGAATCGCGATTAGAAAATCAGGTAGGCCTGCTAAATCTCTAAGTCTTAATTTCTTACATCTTGTGTGAGTCTCAGTCTTGACTTAGAATTTAGTTACTAGATCTAGATCTAGAATCTATAGTTACTAATAATGAGTAATGATTAGTCTTGCTTGATTCTGAGTCTTGTAACAGGAAAGTCTGAAAGAAAAAAAAATGTTAGGCCTACACTAAGTGTAAGTAAGAGTAAGACTAAGAAAGAAGAGAGACCAGTGATTAGTCATTTTTAGTGGGTTTTTTTTGTGTGAGTTGGATCTGACTCAAAAAAGAAATAAAAAATCACAGCATCAAATCATCCCTTAAATTTTAAATCATATCAGTATATCTAGTTCTAGATCAAAATCTGTATGCTTTATCCTACATATATCTACTTATTAACTTTTATAAGAACAGCATTTAATTTAAGACTGTTAGTAGTGTTAGGATGAAGCCAAATTGAACTTTGAACTTAGGTCATGTGTCAGGGCTTCGATTTAAAGTAAAGATGGCTGTTTAATATTTAAATTGCCAATAATATTAATTTTTGTCATTTGCAATGTTTAATGTGTTACAATCCATTATTAGCTTTCAGCAATAGCTTTAATGATATAACTGTTAGTTGTTTCTATTAAGTTCTAATTCTGTTATCAATTATCTAATTCGTGAATGCAAGCGATAAATAGATTTAAGCCTATAAAAACACATTAAATAATTGAGTTTTAATGCATTATTAGCTTTTGCCTATAGCTTTAATGATATAACTGTTTGTTGTTTCAATAAGGCAACATTGGAATAGGTTAAATTAGGATATTATTTAATTAAAACAAGATTTTACTTTATGATTACGAAGAGTATGCTTAATAATACAAAATATTTTCTCGAAATTGAAAGTTCCTAGCAAAGATGATAGCGCATACTCAGGTGGCGTGGATTCAGAACCTAAGTAGAACCTAGCGAGTCACTCAGGTGGTGTGGGTTCTGAACCTAAGCAGTCATTGTCAGTTTTATTTGTTTTTATGTTCCCATCCAAAAAGTGGACAGAGGGAAATCTCAATGCACGCTAATGGCTCTCAATCATTGACGTTTGGTTTAATAATTAATTTATTAATTATTCATATGAGGTTCATGCTAGAAAGAAAGTGCCTCTTAATAAATCATAATTATTATGACTCTGATTCAGATTTAGTGAATCATTAGTTTTGTTTCCCAATAAAAAAAAAATACAAATGTGGTGCGTTGAATTAATATCCACACCAACGCGACTCATACACAAGGGACGTGCTCTGCTAGTTAATATAATAATATAGGCTATAGTCAGGTACCCATCAGAGCTGGGAAAACGCACAGATGTCCCAAGGATTAGAGCCCATGATCGGAATTTGGGACTTTTGGGGTAGTAGTCAATTGCTTTACTTCAGTTAAGTGTCTAACCAGTAAGAGCACCAGAATGAACACAAATTTATCATGTATGATTATATTACTGTGGAGTCTACAATAAGTTTTTAAAATTGTGGTTGAGAAATCAACAGTTTTTTACTTTCTCGTATATACGAAGTATAGAGAAAGTATTGTAATCGTGCACAAAAATCACTTGAAATTTTAACAATTTTCACCGTATTACACCTCAGTCCTTCATCACATCCGAAGTATAGAGGACTTATTTTAATCGGGCAAAAATTATCAATCCAGATTTATCAAAATTAAGAGGTTTTATGCGTAATCCAGTCTGAAAAACTGGGCTTTGCAATTCTGTCTGTATGTCTGTGTGTCTGTGTGTGTGTCCGTGTGTAAACACGATTACTTGAGTACCGTTATAGCTAGGTTGATGAAATTTCATATATAAGTATTTTATCAAAATCGTAGATCCGTATCAACTTTTGAGCGATTTCCGATAACCGGAAGTGGTACTTTTCCTACTCTGAATTTTTCAAAAGCCTATAACTTGAGTACTATTTCAGATAGATAAATGAAATTTCACATGTAAGTAAAAGATCTAATTCTCTACCTTCTGTTAAATTTTGAGTAATTTCCGTTGACCGGAAGTAGTAATTTACGCTATTTCCGATTTCTCAAAAAACTAATGTAAATTTTTAAAGTACTAATAATATTGCGCGCTATTGTGCACTTTTTTATTTGGCGTTCACTAGTTCACTTGGCGTGCAATTATTTTGTCTACGAGATTTTATTCTATTTTTAAAACTTTAAGTATTTAAAATGGCTTAAAAATCATGTCAATAGCCCGAGTTCCCATCCCCTGTTGTTTTATATAAGAATATTCGAGAAAGTTTAGGGGAGATCACTCCCGGTTTATTTTAAAATTTATTTTTAGTAGCCAATTAAATTTTTTCCCCCATTAGGCCTATAAATTTGTGTAAGGCAAAATTTGCTGGCCACGTGTCTGAGTTTCTTGAAACTGATTTAGTTTAGTCTTAGTCCTCAAGTAAATATGGGGCTTAAATTTCGTCTTTTATTAAATTGCAATGGATACATTGGTTAAGAAATAATTGGTTATAATTTTTCTAGCATAGATACTAATTTTGGCTTATTTTTTTTAGTCTAAAGGATACCCTACGAAAGATTGATTCCAAAAACTAAGAAAATTGTGTATTCATTACTGTATCTAGGGCTAGGTACCATCTACCTGCCATGCACTGTATAGCAATATATATAGTTTTGAAGGTTAAAGTAATATTTATATACAAATATGTTTGTATGGCTAACATAAAGAACTACTTTGTAGTACTCTAGCATGCCCTTGTTGTTTGCTCAGTCGTCTAGGTTCATACACAGGTTAGAAAAATCTTTAGGTACAGTTAATTTGATTACATTTGTTATAAACCAAACCCTGAAGACCTAAACTTCAATCTCCTTATATTTTATATCAATTAAAACGCCCTTTATTTTGGCATTTTTAAAACTATATTTTTTTTGGTGTCTAGCTTGTATCATGTCATTGAGGTTTCATAAAAAATATTAATTAAAAAATGCTTGCATAACATTTTTGAAATAGTCGGTCTGGAACCATGCAAAAAGTTAAAAAAAAAAAAATTAATTAGAATGGGAATTTATTTTTACTTAAAATAGAAACGTTAGTCATGGTAAAATCCAAGCATAGCAAAAAGTACCAAATTTGTATATAGGGTACTGATAGGTGGTAAAAATAGTATGTGGATTCAACACATAACATATTTTAACTAGACTTTAGTAGATTTTATTAGAATTTTTTAGTAATGGCTAGTGCTAGCTAAACCCAAAATATACAACATTAATTTTTAGTACATTACAACTGTTTTTTTACATAAAGGAATAAATAGAAAACTAGGTTTGGATTCTACATTTCAAGTTTTTAACAAGCTGTGGCCTTGTTCACTAAAGTTAATCTTTTTTGGTTGTTAAATTAAACCTAGTGTATGAGACTAGTAATGATTGTGAGTCAACCAGTTTTTGGACAAGAACTCAGGGTTAAAATAATTGGCGTCCTGATCAAGTGGCCAGATGAAAAATCAATAGGTGTGGTGCCAGTTGGTCCCCAGCCTCTCACATCCAATCTATAGTTAGGTATTGATGTGGTTAGGGAATGGACCAGTGATCTGTTTTTTTTTAAATAAGTGTAGTTAAAAGATAGTAACTGGGTTTTTTAAGCAGTAGTGTCACTCTTTTTCTCCTTACATATTGCATGTAAATTATATTTTTTTCCAGTTTGTGTTCATTCTTTGTGAATTTATTTCTCACTTTGGACGTGTATTTGTATGTAAGTGTGTGTGTGTACAGATGCATGTTTATGCATGTGAGAAGATAGATTCTTGTTTTTTAACTACAAATCGTTTTCCCCAGATAACTTGAACTAACAGCTCACCATGGGACAAGCAGGGTCTAAGCAAGAAATGTTTTGGGAGGCTTGTGGGTTTGGACGAGCTCACTTGGTTCAAAAATTTATTGAGCATGGCATTGATGTCAACTGGGTGTCATCAATTGTAAGGATATGTTTTCAATCTTTCAACATTTGTTGTAGCAAGTTATTATCCTTACTCTCCAATTCTTACTCATCTGTTGACTTGATTGTATTTGCTATTTAATAAATAAAAAAGTAAATTTCCCCTTTCGGAATTGACGATCCATAGGGCAGATGAAGTAGAGTTCATGTTTCTTTACAGAGGAAGATAAGGTATGGTCAGCACTATGCCCACTCACTTTTACTTTCCCTAAAGTAAGTCAGGTACCCATCAGAGCTGAGTTGACTCAGGGGTGTCTTACAGACTAGACTTCAATATCTGAACTCTAGACTTTTGGGTTATCTCCATCCCACTTTTCTCGTAATACAATCATGGCTGTAAAATTGTCATAATTACTTAATTTAGCTTGATTAGCTGCATATAAACATTTAAATTCAATTAAATTGTAATCTTGGCCAATTAAAAAAAACTCAATAAACAAATGACATTCTAAGTGTTGAACTGGTAATTTACATCAAAAGGTTTTTTTCTCTGTAAGACTGGAGACAACAAATTTATAAATTTATTTTCAGCATGGCTGTAGCCCCATTCACGTTGCATCACAAGGCAAGGCGGATGTTGTACAGCTGTTGATAGAAGCTGGTTGTGACCTCACTGTTGTTGACTCGGTAAGTCAGCACTAATCCAGCTTTTCTTAACCTATATCTAGCTTGTATTTCTTTAAGGACTTCTTTTTTCTTTTTTATACAACTACTTCTCTTTCTCTTGGTACATCTTGTGTTGCTATATGAAGTGGGTTAAGTGACTTATTCTTGTTGAACAGAGAGGAAACACGGCAGTCCACCACGCAGCAATGCAGGGTCATGCCGACATTATCCAGATGTTGGCTGATGCTGGGGCAGATGTCAATGCCCAAGATAAAGTAAGTCCTGGTCTTGTATTATACATCGATTATATTTATGGCTGCAGCAACTCTTCGGTATCATCATTTTTTGGCTGCAACTGTAGATTTTTAACATTTTTATGCCTACAGCAAACAATTTATCATTTTATGACTGCAACAACTGTACTTTATCATCATCTTTTGGCTGCAGCTGTAGTGTTTTAGCATCATTTTATACCTGCAGCAACCAATTTATCATTTTATGACTGCAACAACTGTACTTTATCATCATCTTTTGGCTGCAGCTGTAGTGTTTTAGCATCATTTTATACCTGCAGCAACCAATTTATCATTTTATGACTGCAACAACTGTACTTTATCATCATCTTTTGGCTGCAGCTGTAGTGTTTTAGCATCATTTTATACCTGCAGTAATTGTGGTGTTCTATTTCCTTAAGGCTAATCATACAGCTTATAGTTAATTTGTCAAATATACTAGTACATCAAAATAGACATTTAAAAAATGTGTAAGATATTTTAACTAAGCAAATAACTTCCCCTTGCTTAGAATGGATGGACTCCCCTGCACTGTGCTGCCTACTATGCCCACTTGAAAGCTGTAGAAGTTTTGGTGAGGAACAAATGTGACATCAATATACTCAACAAGGTTTGTTTATTTTAATAGCTCATCACAAAGTGTGATATTATACTCAACAAGGTTTGTTTATTTTAATAGCTCATCACAAAGTGTGTTATCATTATACTCAATAAGGTTTGTTTATTTTAATAGCTCATCACAAAGTGTGATATCATTATACTCAACAAGGTTTGTTTATTTTAAGGTTTGTTTGCATGGGTAGCCTATTTCATCTACTGGAAACCACCTTACCTTAGAAGGGCCCAAGTTTAATCTCAGTAAAGTAGCCAAAGACATACTACTCTATCTATGTGGTTATACAGTGAAACCTCTTAACTCCGCAGGATGGCAGGTCGGCTCTGATTGAGACAGCCAGGTCTAAAAAATACACAGAGGAGAAAACCCTTGGAGAGATAGCCAGACATTTAATCAAGGCTGGATGTGATGTCAACCTCAAATGTGCTGATCTAGGGGAGGTAACCATTCAATTATTACATTTTATACAAATAATTAACAGTTACTCTAAATTTCTGTCTGCAATTAGTACATTTTCTAAAAAAAATGTTTATAAATAAGGAAGTATCTAAACATATCCAGTTAAACATGAATTTGGCCAAGCAAAAATGTAAAACCAGCAATGATATTCCTATCAATAAAACTATTTAAAAAATATTACCTGTTTTATCTTAGGCTGGAGTAGTGTTTTTGTTTGTTTTGATTATTGCTTCCTGTCACTGTTTCACAGGCTAACTTCACTGGATTGATGTTTGCTGCTTACCACAATCATGTAGATGTGGCAGCTGCTTTCATTGATGGGGGATGTGATCTGGATTGTGCCAGCTGTTATGTAAGTTGGTTGTGGATATGTCATAGATTATGCCAGTTATGTAAGTTGGTTGTGGATGTCATGGATTGTGCTTGTTGTTATGTAAGTTGGTAGTGGATATGTCATAGATTATGCCAGTTATGTAAGTTGGTAGTGGATGTCATGGATTGTGCTAGTTATTTAAGTTGATAGTGGATCTGACCTGGAGTAGGGGTTCCAGTTGTGTATGTTGGTATGACCTTTGGGCTACAAATCTTTTATGGGTGTGATCTAGACTCTTTATTTCCAGTTCATTTTTAGGCTCATAATCCTACACTATGTAGCTATTATTTTATAACCAGATTGTTTACTTTGTTACCTGGCTGATCCTGTTTTTATTATTGATTGTTTAGACCAAGTGGACAGCACTGCATTGGGCCGCTGACTGTGACAACTCAGAAATGGTTTACATATTACTTGAGGCTGGTGCTGACCCAACTAAAACTGGAATGGTCAGTATTTTTATCATACCTCTGGTAAAGACAGCAACCAGCGTTTAATGTGAATTTTTTTCATATATTAATAATGCAAGAAAAAATAGTTTGAAGGTTTGAACTGAATTAATGTTTTATATTAGATGTGGCAGTTTAATTTTTAAATATACTGTGTTGTTTAAAAAAATGATGATACTGATTTCATCCTGGTATTCTGTTAACGAGTTTTGCTCTAATCAGAGAGGTGAGCTGGCTTCTGACAGGTCAAAGGACACAGAGGTGAAGGAAGTTCTGGACAAAGCTGTGATCACCTTCAGGGAGGCAGAGGGCGGTGAGAACACCTCCCTGTCTTCTGCTCATTCATTCAATGCCCAGGCATCGCTAGACACTGCCAGGGCACTGGAGGTCAGTGATTCTCTCTTTCTCATTCCATCTTTTTATTTTTATTTGAATGAACTAATTTCATTAGCTAATTTAAGAAAATATTTTTTTTTTTTTAAATTCCATGTCCAGTATTTTCAAGTAAGATGTTTGAATAATATCCAAAGTAGTAATTTAAAAAAATATGCAGATATTCTTAAAAATAATTTTGTTTTCATTGTAGAGTTCATATATCACACAATTCCTTGCTCTTAAATCTCGACTAGAGGGTATCCCCAACTCTGGGGAATCTAAACCAGGCTAGACATAGTCCAACCTGTTCTGGGGTCAAAGAAACAGATCAATTGTATTAACGTGTTCTTGCTTGATTGTTAAAGATTTAGTACTTGATGCTTGATAATTTTCTCAACAGTGTCTGTCCACACATGCCAAGAATCGAGACATTCTTTCAGCCCCCATGCCCACAATGCCTGCATTGGGCATTGCATCTCGATCCGACCCCAAAGTTCGCTACACTCGCCGGAATGTGAATGAAGTAGCTATCAAGAACATCAACGCCAATTTTCCATGGAAGAGCTACTCCAAACAAGGGTCACCCAGTCCTGATAAAGACGGCTTAACTGGTAACGGGGAGGAAGGGGAACGGAGGAAAATGTTTCCCTCACAGGATGACAAGACCAATGCTTTCATGGACTCGTTAGCCCAGCGCATCAACTACATGACCAGTAAAATTGCTTCCATGTCAAATTATGATACCAAAACAGAGGCAGAACGATCCAACGGAAACCTCAACGGGCAAGTTTCTGGATCAGAAGGAGCAGTGAGTACATGTAAAAACGGGGTGGATAGTTCTGAGGATTCTGGGTTGTCAACCCGAGACAGCAGTCGTGTAGCTTCAGAGCTGGCGTCCCCCGAGGAAGGGACCACCAACACTCTGGCGCTGGATATAAACCACTCTACCTCCAGGAGTGAGGATGATAAAAGCCCCAAATCCACATCAGGAACCTCATCCAAACTATCAAGCCCATCCAAATTATCAAGCCCATCCAAATCTGATATGCTTGATGCTGAAGCCGACGCTTGCATTATTGAGGAAAGCCACCGTGGGTTCTCCATCTTGCGAGCCCTGCAGGAGAGGCATCGTCGCAGCATGTGTCTGGACGAGGCCTCTATAGCACAAGCCACCAAAGAATCCGCTCCTGGCTCCGAGGTGTTCTCCCAGGTGTAAGGTACCCAGTAGCTAGCTCTTCAGTCTTTCTAGTTACCCTTTTTTCTTTCTAACCCTCCGTACAAAGGTTGTAGACTCAGGAGTCTGGTGCTATAAGGTGCACTCAGTCTGTTTTGTGTTTGTACATGATTGTGAATTGTTTACTATAAAAACACTCAGCATTTTACTAGACACTTTTCCCTACTATTTCACTTTTCTTACTTGGGTAAGATTTCCTGTTTGTGAAAATATTTTTTTTTTTTAATATCAAAAGTAGATTTTTTTAAACAGTTGAAACAACCATTACCATTGGAACCATTCCCATAGCAGCATTGTCTTTTTCTATACTATGAAGTGGTAGGTTTGAATATATCTCTTGTTTAGTTTATATCTAGCACAATATTTGCTTTACTGAAGTATAACCATGTACAATAGCTCATATTTATTCAACTTTGTGTGGCCAATTCTTAACTTATTGGTGGTGGATTCTCAACTACATAATACTGTTTTTTTTCCCGTCACATCCTTTACTTTTCAACATCATTCAAGATGGCAATAAAGGATGCAATTAATGAATGCATTTAACTATCGCTAGCACATGTATTTTAAACCGCAGACACATTTTTTAACGGTAAATAATCGCTAGCTGAAGGCATGTACCTAAAGTTGATAAAAAACATTAAGTCAAATTGTGTTTATTTATAACAATGATTTTTGTACTTTAAAACAAAAGAAAAAAATGGTGCTATCAAATTTACAGTTTGATGTATCTTTGTTTGTATTCATGACTGTACTTTTCAAGTATTTTAACTACAATAACAAACTGTTGAAATCCTCTATCATTCCTATCTATTTGCGATGCAATGGAGTTGTCTAACCTGCCACTAACAAAAAATGCATAATGCATACAGCTGCTTATTGGAGTACAGAGGCACAACTTCTCAGAAAGCTACAAAGGAATTATGTAAGAGATAAGAAGCTATTACTGTATTCTAATGTTTCCTGCAGCTATGCATACATATCACATCTTTTACAATGAAGAAAAGCCCAGTTGCTGATGAAAATTTCTAACTTTTCTTAACATAGTTATATAATGTTTGCTTTCAGTTTTAAATTATTTTCTGTTTCATACGATCCAATAGGAATGTATATTATAAAAATATTTTTTTTTATCAAAATTTCTCTTTTTATAAAAAAAGAATGCTTGAAAGAATTATTTATGTAAATTTGTTGCACCTAACAATCCTGATTTTGTTTCGTTTAATTAATATTTCGATATACCTATGGATACTATGGATTTCAGAATTACATGAAGAGCAATGATATATATTCAAAATATAAATTAGCAACCACTAAAAAGCGAAAAAAATGTTTAGCTTTTAAACTTGGGATGAAGAAAAATATAAGAAGTTGCAATAATATCTCTCTGGGACCATGATGTTTACATTTATAACCGTTGTCAACAGTATCACTGCTCTTAGAGTCCTGTGTGTTAGAATAACCACTGTTCATAGATCCATAGTTGGTTCATGCTAGATCCTTAGTTAGAGGCTCTCTATGTATAAAGTTTTCAAATGTGCTTAAGAAAGTTTATGTATGTACATTTGTTGTAATCAAATCCTAGCTATCTCTTGTTATCAATATCACTTCACATCGTTAAGTGAGGTACATTTAGAGCTTCTTTGTAGCCTGATTTATTATAATTATAATACATCATCAGTTTTTAAACTTGAAAAATTATGGCTTTATCATTTACTTTTATACTTTTAAGTATTAAATACAAGACATGTTGAAAACTTGTTTTTCGGACCACAGGTCTTCAATGTCCATGTATTTAACTGTTGAGTTTTCTATTTTTTTTCTTGGATATGTATGGAATGCATCCAAAAATTAAATTTTCTTCATTTTTTTCAATTGTACTTTTGATGACAGCACTTTTGAGTTTAGTGTTACTTCAACTTGACCCAGATAGGCAGTTATTTCTGAGGTTGTGAATAGACAAATATCATTGTTTGGATTCTTTCAGTGTTTAACTGAAGTTATCAATGTCCCCCGTAGCTTTGTACCACACTCTATTGTTACATCCCCACAACACTTGTATTCATTTGTATGGACCTAAAAATCAACATACAATGGTTCCTTTATTGAAGGTAATATCAAATACAGTTTTTTTATAAACCTTAGGTATCATCAACATACAATATGTTTATTTATTCACCTTTTATTCAATATACATAAGTCATGTGCAAAAGTTCACATAATTATTTTTATAGGAATTTTAAACTGTTGTGTCTGCTAATCTAGTCCTGTCTTAAAATAATCCAGGTTGTTATTAATGTTAATTTTAGATTTGTTTCACTTTGGGCTGATTTTTCAAAAACTGTGTTGTAAATAGTCTCTCTCAGATATTTTCCTAGTCAATGCCAGATTGCAATTTTAAGTAATTTTTTTTTTATATTTTGCAATCCAATCGACCAAGAAGGTCAACAATCTGATGCCAAGTTTAGTTCAATTGTATTTAAAAAAATTCCTGATCATATACATAATCATAACATTATATGATATCAATTTTTGCTTAGGTAATGTTTTAGCATCAAGTCTGCTATGTTTTGAAAAAATTGAATAATAATGTAAATCTTTATAAACATAGGTGGCCATTGAGGCAAATGTTGTAGCCATTACTTGTCTGAATGACTGTAAGCCTTTATAAACATTGGTGGTCATTGAGGCAAATGTTGTAGCCATTACTAGTCTGAATGGCTGTAAGCCTTTATAAACATTGGTGGTCATTGAGGCAAATGTTGTAGCCATTACTAGTCTGAATGGCTGTAAGCCTTTATAAACATTGGTGGTCATTGAGGCAAAGGTTGTAGCCATTACTTGTCTGATTGGCCTGCAAAAGTTTTAAGCTAGAACACTGCCCACTGAGTATGTCTACTAGACCTCAGTCAGGCATCAATCAGAGCTGCTCCTGTTTGCAGTCTCTTGAGTCCTGTGATTAAAATCTAACCACAGTGTAGTTAATCTTTAATATTAAAAGATAAAAATTTCAACTTACAAAAAAGTAAGTTAAGATTATTATCAATTTTTCATATTATTCTCAATAAAGCCAAAATTGAATTGTTTTTTTTTTTAAATTATGAATTGACTGAGTTTTGTTACAGCGTTACAGCATAAACAATTTTCTTGTGATTTTTCAAAACTAAAGAAGGTGTTAAACATGTGACCTATTTTTACAAGAGATTTAAGTTTTACAATATTGTGATTTATGTATGTATATGTTACTGTTTGTATGACCTTGACCTTGTTGTAAATAACTTCTACAGTGTAAAATATTTTTTGTTATGCTGTAACTGGAGATAATGAACACAGCTGCTGAAATGAAACCTTTGGGTTTGGCATTTTTCTCAATTATTTGGTGCTTTAGTCACATCAATTGTTTGGCTTCAGTGAGTTATTCTATGCATTAGATGTTTTTTCAAAGCCGTTTATTTTGCTTTAATTTTAAGATCTGAAGTTCTAAATATTGTTTAGAATTTATTTATATTTTACAATAGATTGCATGTGAAGTAATTTCTGTTTAAGATAACTCTCCAGAAAAATACATTTATTGTAAAACTGTTAAAGGATGTAAGGAATGGAATTTTAGGTAGATATTTTATTTTAGATTTTTTTTTTACTTTTCTGACCTGTTTTGCAAAGTGAAAAAATTCCTTGTTCGATTAAAAAAAATGTATTGATCATATCCGCAAAGAAATATAACATTTTTTAGATGGGTTCAAGGCTGTTTAAACCAAAAGGTCATAGCTTATGTACACAGTTTATCTACAAACCTCATCAAATAGTTCAGTTGTGCTTAAACTTAGTATAACTGTTTTAAAAAAAATTTCTTGTATACTTTTGCAAGCAAGATTCTTTATGGTATTTTCATTAAAAATAAAAATATAATAATTAATTGTTGTAATCAATGACGACACATACATACTTCATTCAAAGTGAACTGGGAAAAGGGTACCTGTAACATAAGTATTTATTTTATATGTCCATACAGCAGTTTATATTTTGTTTATGTGGATGCACCCAGAAAAGTGGAATTTATGGAGGGCATACCAGGGCATTAGATGAAGAGATGATGGGTTGCCCATGCATCATTATACCTCTCCCTACCATTGCCAGTATATTACAAATGAATGCTAAACAATATGTTTTGTAGCATTTTTGTTTTTAGTTTCTGCTGTTAAAAGATTTACTTTTTTTGGTTTCTAGGATTCAAGTATCATAGCCAGGGGCGTAGCGGGGGGTGCGGACTGCATCGGGTGACACCATTTAGGGGGGGGTGACACCATGGCAAAAAATAGCAAAATATATAGAGAAAAAATTGAGGGGGGGTGCAAATCGAAAACATGAGGGGGGGGGGAGGGGGTGCAAATTGAAAGTTTGAGGGGGGGGGGGTGCAAATAAAAAATTTGAAAGTTTGTCCCCGGGAAGGGTCGCTCTGGGGGTGGTGACACCATTAAGTGGCGCAGCGGGTGACACCCGACCTCGCTACACCACTGATCATAGCCATCTGTTTTTTCTTTATGATCACTTTCTGTCTAGTTATAGTTAAGTATGGGTAACTTTTTAATAAAGCTTTATTGTTGATTAAAAATTTTTCTTTACTGTAGAACAGTTATACTGATTGTGATAAAGGGTTGGTATTTTTCTAAGAACTGCTGGAAGATTTCTTTGGTTCCTATTTCTTGTTGCGTACTCAGTGCAGCTTTTCAATGTTTATTTATTTTCCTGTGAAATCCATTTCATTTGCACAAATAGTAATGTTCGTTTTTTTTTTAAAATTTAATGCTGGTTTGAATATAAATTATATTATTAATAATAATTTGTTCCTTATCATAAAACTAAAAAAGTACCTAAAAATAAAGATTAGTTAAGCTACCCTTATATATGATCAATCAACAGTGTATAACAGCTCTAAATATTGTACATACTGCAGAACCAACTATAACTTTTAGTTATAAAACATCTGTAGCAGTTAAACTTTAAAAACTTCATTTTTAAGATATATTTTTGAATTTTGATTTCCAAGTTAATTGCGGTGATTGTCATTAATACAATAATTAAGTTTTTACATAATTAATTTATTTCAAACACCTTCAACAAGATCTGATTATTTTTTGTTATTACCTGCTCACTTAGTGTTGGATGTTTATATTGTTTCAATCTTTATTTGTACAGATTCTAATTAGTTATTTCCCTTTAGTTCTCTCCCCTTTTACTTTTGTTTCCCTAGATGACACCATATAGCTAATCTCCTGTCTAAGTGCATGATATATAATGTGCCAAATTGTCCTAAACATGTTCATATTATTTGTACTGAAAAAGAATCCACACCAGGTTTATTTCTTATTTATTTTATCTTGTAAAATGTATGCATGTATTTAAAAAACCCATTTCTCCCTGAGGTAATTCTATGTACCGAATTATTTATAAAATAATCAGTCCCGCTTTAATCTGACATAGCAGAACGAGTTCTAAGTTTAGGTTTGTTGTTTTTGTCCCTTTTTAATCATTTCCTTGTAATGTTATCACTATTATGAAATCTAAAAAAATGTATTATTTTATTAAAATAAAATGTTAACATTTTTTTTGTCTGATTGAGAAAAACAAATGCGATCTGATTTATCATTCAAAATGTAAAAGTTAAATAAGGATTATTGGAGCATTGGTTCCCAAAAATATTGGAAAAGTATAAGTGTTTAAATACAATTATAGCTTAAAAATTCCTTTGATTTTTGTAATCACAAAAATATATGGAATTCTTAAAATAATAAAAACATTGGTTGCTTATTATGGAGTACTGTTTGTTTGATGACAGTTTCATTTTAATTTAAAGCTTTATATTTTAAAAAAATTAATTTAAGATTAAAACAGTTATAATTATACATTTCTTCTGTTTTATTCAGATAACAATCTTTAAATAAACCTGCTTTAAGTACAAGACTAAAGACATATTTCCATGAGTATTTCTATTAAGTAGTTTAGTTTTTTTTTTTTAATTGTTTTTTTTTTTAAAAATATATTCTGGGCATTCCAAGACTTTTGATGGGATTTGATGTTTATTATAAAACACCCAGCAACCTAATGAAGATTTGGTTGCCAAACTTTTCCAAATTGTAACCAACGGACAGGGATTTACATTCTTTGTGTGTTTAAATTTTACAAAATCTGAGACTTACCTACTTCTGTTCGAGCACTTTAAGATGTTTAAAATCTGTTTTGTTAGTTTTTGGTGTCTAGATTAGTTAGTTATAATAAAATAGTTTTGTTTCCATATCTCTCTAAAGAGTACTTTGTGTGATTTTATTTCATTTTTCGTTGCATGGGAAACCCTTCTAGAACTAGGGCAGAATTTGTTTAGTTTAATTTCAGTGCTTTCAGTAAGTGAACACTAAAGCAATTTTTAGTTTGTTTTCCACAAATACATGAGCAATTTATGCATGTCTACAGCTTGATACAAGCTGTAAACAACATGTATAGAATCAAAGTTTTGTCATTTTTATTTAATTTTATTTTTGGCTTTGTACAATCATTTATTTAAAAGCAGAATTAATTTTATATTTAAATTTTCTTGGTGCTTTTTTTAAGAAAGTTTTTTTTTAACCATCTCTTTTAACTTATATACTTATTATATACTTCATCTTGGTAGGAAATTTATCATGTTATTGCATTACTATAAGTGAATTCTCTTTTGCTGTATTTTTATTCAAGATTAGTTGCTTCCCCTGATACGACTGCGTTAGACTCAACTCACACAACTTTTGTGTCCAGCAAAATTCGAATGTCTATCATGTATGATGCCATTGAAATAAAATACCATAGCTTGAACTCGTTCAAAATTTTACTGTTTTGTGTTTTATTTTTTTTTACCCCATAATGCTTACGTACTGACTTCTACCGAAGGGCCTAAACTCTTATGGAAGTTACAAACTCATATAGAAATCTATTCAAAGGGAATGTACCTCGTCGAAGTATTAAAAAAAAACAGCATTAATTGTTAATGTTCATTGAAATTGAATTTACTTTGTTTTTTTTTCTTTTAATGTAGTGGCGATATAATGTAACGCATTTGGTATAGACTAGTTTACTTTAACATTTTCCTTTTAGTACACTTGCGTTAAGAAAACTTCGGATAATTATGTTTGACGATAAATACCTCAAGGCACCACACAACGGAAATGAACAAGCTCCAATCTAACGCTTGATAGACAGGGTCGGCAACCTTTTGAGGCGGAAGAGCCAAAAATTAAAATTTACAAGATTTCCCAGTTTTCAAAGAGCCACTAACAATTTTTTTTCCAACATTATGGTATTTGATTAAGATTAGGTAGATAGATTTAAAATAAATGGGTTTAAGTCTGAAACACTATTCATATAAAAACATACACATGTTTTCGCACAAAACAAAGTATTTTAGCTAGTTCTGCTAGGAAAATAAAATCAAATTATATAACTATAGCACTATCCCTACCAAATTTAGAAGCTAATAACTAAAAAACTATGTCACTTAAGTCAAATTAATGCACACTGACACATAAAAAGTGCCTTCTGAATAATATAACAATTACTATTGAAAATATTAAAAAACACTTGCACTTCGGTATTGGAAAGCACGGGGCTGGCCACAGTACAGTTGTGGGGCTGGGCCTTGTGCCTAAGCAGCTGCCAGCTGTCTATATGCGCTCTATTTTACCTATTTTTATTGTTTTTTCTTGTTTAAAGTTGCTTTTTAAAGTATAATATTTTTTATTAGTTATGAAAATAAAATAATATAATTATTATGGAACTGGCGAGCCGCATCCTAACATCTAAAGAGCCGAATGCGGCTCGCGAGCCGCAGGTTGCCAACCCCTGTTGATAGATAGCACGTCGGGGTATTGATAATCACAGCAAGGTCCGAGGTACAATACGGTTAGTCGTACCGTTAACCGATATGGGTGTAGTTTGCAATGTTTCTTGTCAGAGTGATTGAGATTGTGCTTGTTGTCATGACATCACATGACAGCTGTCACTGACATGTCAGGAAACCTTAGTAAAATGTCTGTGCTGTTATGTATGGCAATGTGTATGTCGTAG